CGATAAGCAATGCTCCCTCTAAGCTGCGAAGTCCTGTGAGCAAAAATTCTCCTTTGTGAGCTACTGGCATTAAAGCTGTGAGCAGGTGATTTGGCTGCTGCATAAATTAGTGTGCTCTGGAGCCCTCCTGCCTGAGCTAAGACAAAAAGCTGTGAGCCAGAGGCTAAAAAACTGTGACCTAACTCAGACTATCTCAGCTTAGGGAACACTGACAATACAGACATCAGAAGAGCCCTGTGTTTAATATATTATTGTTAAAATTATATGCTTTTGTGTGAGTGTTTGTCTGTTTTGGCAGGTCACTGCGTGGTGTGGCTCTCTGACTCTCACAGTTTAAAATTTTGGCTCTTTTTGTCGAACTTGTTCGCCACCCCTGCTATATAGGGACCATTCATACTGGAGAAATTTTCTACAACAATATAATTTTTTGTATTGAACCTTTACATTCACTTGAAATAGCCTATTCCAATGTAACTTTCTCACTTTCTTGCAATATTTATGTTGTAATTGGTTTAGGGCCAAGTAACCAGCAGGTCTTTGACAGAACAAAAGATTTGACATTAGCTTATAAATTTTCTCACACCTAGAGCAGTTTGGTTTCCATTGAATTTGCCATTAAACTATTTAGCTGTGTATAGGAGTTCTTTCTAGGTTTCCTTGAGGCCAGGCTCTTGATACCATCTATGTTAGCTTTCAGCAAATTGAGTGTTTGGGAATTCTTTGCTGTTCATTTCAGCACTATATTCCTTTGTGGAAATCAGTGGGTTAATGATTATTTAACACTATGAGTTGAGAGAGAAAGAATGGAAAGAAATAAAGAAAAGGATTTCTAGTTCCGTACCATGTCCATGTGCAAAGAGGTTGCATTCACTGTTTGCAGGGGTCTTGTTGTAGAAAAAGAGCTGCCGGACCTCATTAGCATAACTCATTAGCATAACTTATTTGCATATGCCACGCCCCCTGACATCACCGGAAGTGACAGAAGGCCACACCCCCTGACATCACCGGAAGTGTGTCAGAAGGCCCGGCTACTTACCCTCCTGCTTCATCCTCATTCCCAAACGGAATGAGGATCGAAGCAGAGGGCGGGGTAAAGAAGGGGGCGGGGCTTCACCACGTGACCGCCCCGCCCCCTAGAGGTTCTCTTCCGGAGCTCCGTACCTGAGAGCTCCCCCCCGACTAGAGCCCTGACTGTTTGTTTATTTAATTCATTTATAGTCCATCTTTCTCAGTGAGAAGCAAGGCAGATTGCACAATTTAAAAACCATGCACTCAGAGCCGTATAATGCATACAATCAACAGTGCAATTATATGGGATTACGATATTAGGGCAGCTCACTAGAGAAACAGCGTGACAATATAATGTATACATTGAAAAAAGTAATTAAAACTGCCTAAATTGTTTAGATGTTAGCTATGATCCACTTGAACAATTAGAGAAGCAATGCAACAGTATCATTTGTACAATGAACAAAGCAATGAAAACTACCTAAAATTTCAGACATTTAGATTTCAGCTGCTGTTGGAAATAGATATATGAAAGCCCGCGGGGGGTGGGGAATGGAAAAATGGTGTGAAGTGGGGGGTTCACAGAACTTTCCCCCCATTTTAATAATAGAAAATTTAGAATATCTTAGATTTTAAAAACCCTCCTATGACATATTTTCCCTTTTGGAATGAGCGAAAACAAGGTTTTACTCATGCAAAATGTACAGTATGCTGATTTTTTTTAAAATGTAGGACAGTGTTAGAGAATTATTCTTGTGTATAATGTAGATGTGTGCAACACTCAGATCCAAGATGCATTTCTGCACCCAAAAGGTGCTGTCCATGTTTATGAGAGGAGCAGAGAGGGCCTTCCTTGCTAGTAGACTGTTGCTTGCCTTCCTTGGTGATACGTTTAATTTAGCTGGATAGTGAAAGTAGAAACCATTACCCTGGATCTGCTCTCCTTTTGACCTTGCCCCCTGTGGTCAAGCTTTGTAGCTCTCTCCTCAAAGGACTGTGACACAGACACCCATAGACTAGGAAACAAGCAGCTTATGGCTGGAGGCAATGCTAGTAATTTCAATAATGTTTTATTGTTTAAATGTGACTAATTTTGACCACAACTAAATACGCTATAATGTGTATGGTAATAATACACTATTGAAGAGTTCAGTGTTATAAAATTTAACTCAGCATCCAAATATGCTGCTAGCCAGTGTGGTGTAGTGGTTAAGAGCAGAGGACTCTAATGTGGAGAACTGGGTTTGATTCCCCACTTCTCCACATGAAGCCTGCTGGGTGACCTTGGACCAGTCACAGTTTCTCTCAGAACTCTCTCTGCCTCACCTACCTCACAAAGTGCCTGTTGTGGGGAGAGGAAGGGAAGGAGATTGTAAGTGGCTTTGAGAGTCCTTAGGGTAGAGGAAAGCAGGGTATAAAAACCAACTCTTCTTCCTATTGTGACTATATGAGATTGTTTCTGCTCAAGTAACACACTTTATTTTGTTTACTACAGATTTTGTGCTTTCTCTTTTCAATTTTTATTTTTTTCCTGCTTCTCAGATGGCAAAAACTAATAGATGTGCTTAGGTAGCATAGATTGTAGCAGACTGCCATTCTCATTCTCTCTCTGTCTCTCTCTAATATTGGATATGTTTGAAATTTTGCTTGTAGAAAATGAAAGCATTTGTTCTTTCATAAATATTCCAATGGTATAATTGTACATGCTAACTAAGTTACAAGTGGTGCATTTTATATTGTTAAATCAGTAAAATAAGCTTAGCTTTGATAAGAAAGTATACATTGCATATATTTCAATTTTCCCATAATTTGTTTTCCCCCCATGGCTTCACAATTTCTTTAAATTTTGCATCTCTAGTCAGGAATAGGAGTAAGAAGTGCTGATACTCCTGTGCCTCAGGTGTATGTAATTACCACTGGAGAAGTGCTTGCACAGTTCCTAGTGTAATTTTGCTACTTAAAATATTGTTAAAGTGTAGAGCCTTTGAAGAGCATCACTGGAGTCCTGTGGGGGTTGGTTCTGCTGTTATATTGACTATAATAACAGGCAGCCATTAACATAGCAACTTCAGAAGCAAACTTTTAGCTGTTTAAGTAATCTCTTAGATATTTTTTAATTTGCCTGGCGGTATTCTGTGTTTGGTCTTTAAATTCCCACTGGGGCTGTACAAAAGCTCTTCCTGCATGTTTGGAAGAGAACACATAAGGAGCTGCTGAAAGCATTCTTTGACTGTTTCTGAACTACAGAGAGGGCTCTGGTTTGCTTTGGTGATGAGGACCTAGGAGGGCTCTGGTACTGGGAATTTTAGCTTGGGCCAAGGGCGAAGGGGAGATAGACAGTAATAGCTTCCAAATAAAGTAGCAGGATGCTGTGTAGGATGTGAAGACAAATGTTATTTTCCAGGCTACTAAGCAGAGGCCAAGAGGAAATAGGCTGAAATATATGAAAAGAAATCTAGGTCTAATGTCATGTTGAACAGTAAAATAAAGAGGAAATAATCTCCATCATTCATCTCACTGGGATTTCAAGTCATATATAACCAACAATCTAGCTGGTTTCTTAACATTCCTTTGTCATTTATAGCTGAATAATTCCCAGAGTTTGCTGAGTGCTTGTCTAAAATGGTTCTGAAATTCCCAGCTTTGGGGACGGGGGCAGGGGCGGGGAGATGGTCTGCATCAGAGGCAGGCTTCTATAAGTTCTTGAAGAATGCCAGGCAGCTACAGCTTTGTCTATCACTTTTCCTGAAGTACAGTGGTTCAATCCATGTTTTTACTATTACACTTACGGTCCCCTTTCACTGTCATTTTCTCCCATAAGGATTCTAGATAATGTTTATTGTGAGCATGTAATTGATTCCTGTCTGCATTTTGGGAAGGATGCCATATAATCATATCTTGTTGCATGTGGTTAAGCAGTTACTAATCTCCTAAACAAAAGCAGAAGTATCTGCAATCAGTTTAGTTGTTTAATGGGAAAGTAAGGACTTGTCCCTTTCGATTGTTACTTCATAATTAAATAAAATATTTTGGTAGCTATTAAAATGCAAATATTTGAGCTGATGAGCCTATTATGGTAAGAACAATAACTCCTTTGGGTGATCAGGAGAAACTTCCTCACTGTAAGAGTGGTTGAGCAGTCGAACAGACTGCCTCGGGAGGTGGTGGATGCTCCTTCGCTGGATGTTTTCAAGCGGAGGCTGGATGATAGGGTTGCCAAGTCTTAATGACTCACCGGCGGGGGAGCATTGATCCGGTCCGGGAGCTGGCGAGGTTTGCGCGCGCGTACCGCCAGAACGTCACAGGAAGTGACGCACGACGTAGAGCACGTTGGGGGTGTGGCCCAGATTGTCGGGGGGGAACCATATGGTTTTCCCCCCGACGATCTTGGCCACACACCCAACGTGAGCGACGTGGGCAGCTTTGGGGGGGCGGAGTTCCCCCAGGGCCCGATTCTGCCGCGGCAGAAATCAGGCCTCCAAAGTGGGGGTTTCCCCGCCCCCACTCGGCAGCCCTAGACCCCAAGCCTAGTGATCAGCTCTCCTTTATCCGTGATACAGCAAGAACAAAAAGCGAAAAGCCGGGGCGACAGCCCTGTTTAAATAGCATGCAAATTCCACCCACTTCCCAAAACAGCTACCGCCCTTCACTCAGAGTGGCTTACAATCTCCTTCCCTTCCTCTCCCCACAACAGACACCCTGTGAGGTAGGTGGGGCTGAGTGAGAACTGCTCTTGATAGAACAGCTCTGAGAGAACTATGACTGACCCAAGGTCACCCATGGCTGCATGTGGAGGAGTGGGGAGTCAAACCCAGTTCTCCAGATTAGAGTCCACCACTCTTAACTACTACACCAAACTGGCTAATGGGGTACAACTGATCTTACAGTTGCTTGGATAGATGCAGGTTGTATCAGAGATTTATAAGAAGAAGTTCTGTGCTACTAAATTTTACTGTTTTAACTAACAGCCCTTCTGTATGTTTCTTCCCCAGTCTCAGTTGCCGGCGATGTATTATTGTGGGAAATGGTGGCATTCTAGCAAACAAATCTTTGGGGTTGAAAATTGATGACTATGACATTGTTATCAGGTGAGTTTCTGGCAAATGAAGGGATTTTTCTGTGTTTCTGTGTCAGGTGATATCTAAATGAGCAACCAGAAACTGTAGTTCTCACTAGATGTACTGGTAATCTATCTATCTATATATAAAAGAAAGTCCCCTCACCATAAAATCAATGTCCAGGCCAAACCGCTGGACCTAGAAACACCAAATTCGGGGAGAGCGCTCCTACCGTGATGTAGATGCTCACTAAAAAGGGATTTTTAGAAATGTGACCCCTAAGTGGGTCAAAAGGGGGGAAATGTGCTCCCCCATTGATTCCTATGCGGCTGCCAGGCTGCTGCCTCCTTGCACCCCCACTCTCTGCTTGATCAGCTGCAGAGCTCAGTGTTCTGAGGTAAAAAAAAACAGTTACAGGGGACTAGAGAGCACTAATGACAGTTGAGGAAATCAGGAGTGGACAACCGCCTGTGAGGTGAAGCAAAGCTGCTGGCCCAGCTTCCCTATGGCTTCAAACATGCTCCCCTCCTACAGCAGCAGTTACCTCATCATCATCAACTATCTTTATTGGCATCACAAGAAAACTTAGATTATCAAGGGATAAAGGGTACAACCTTCATTGCTGGAGCTGAAACATTCCTCTCCTCTTAATGGCACAACATAGAAATTTAGCCACCAAATCAGTGATCTCAGAGTTATGGGAAGATAGTAAAAAAAACGTCTTGCAAACATCAGATTGATTTGTAGCAGAGGTTCTAGATATATGGCACAAATATCACAGTAAAATATACAGTGCAGGAGAACATGTTCAGTACTTTCTATCTCCCCCAGACCGCAAGAACAAAGCCTAGAGGAGTATGGCATTTTTTAAAACCTCCCGTACAGTACCGCAGAAGGAAGAACATGAGCTAACATAAATGCCCTCTGATGCTCAAAAATAGTCAAACTAGAGAAGTACTCAGCCAAAACACCATTAGTAGACATCCCCCACCACAAAGGGAAACATCTACCAGAGGCAAGACTTCTAAGTGCTTGCGTCTCAATATCAATAAGTCTTTGCTTGATTAAAGCAAAAACACACCTCTCGGAAAGGTACGCAAGGTCGTCCAAACTGAACCCAATTATAGAATTTTTTCCCTATGTAGGACATCCACTCAGAAGATTGTGATGCAGCAGCAGTTGCAGGGTGCTTAAAGCCACAAGGGAGCCTGCCCCATCAGTAAAGCCTTAATGATCCTGCCAGCCCTGCCTCCACAGTAGCTTGTAATACTCCTCCCCACTCCTTCTCCTACACTGGACAGGCAGCTGCCTATCAGGTGTAGGAGAGGAGGTGGGATGCTTACAGCCGCCGAGGAGGTTTGCTCAGCAAGATTGCCTTCGTCCTGCTGCTGGCCCAGCTTCCCTGATGCCTTTAAACATAATCCCCCCGACACCAGACAGGGGGGTGTCTGTCAGATGTAGGAACAGGAGCAGGGTACTTTAATCCATCAGGGACGCTGCCCCAGCAGGATCACCTTAGTGGTGATGCTGGCCCAGCCTCTCTGATGGCTTCCAACACACTACCCCCACCTCCTACACCTAACAGGCAGTTGTCTGTCAGGTGCAGCAGTGGTTGCTGGGTGCTTAAAACCATGAGGGAGCCCATCCCAGCAGTCTACAGGCTTCTCCATTAAAATTCCTACAACAAATGTTACATTTCAGACTTTATAAAATCAGTATTATAACTGGATTTACGGAAGTTAAATACCGTAGCGAAGCACGAGTATCAAGCTAGTAAAGAATAAAGATATTCTGAAGCTTGCTGTGTTTTTGAAAGCTTTATCCTTGTTCAATATCAGGATTGCCTTCCTTCTTGAGATCCGCAAACCACTGCTCTTTCTCTATAGATATCGTTCTCAGTAGTGTATCAGTCTATTTTACCAAAAATTAGCCACTAATAGTAGTCAGAATGCTACTGGAGAGATTACACAGACATCTCTGGTTGACCCTATGCTTTGTTGTTCATTGGGAGTTAGTGCTGCAGAACTGTGTACACTCCACAACTGAGTGAAGAGTTTAGGAAAGGAGTGACATCTGTCCTCCTGCTTTGATCTTACCATGAAGAATGATGATAGGGGCAGGGTGAGGCCATCTTGCAGCTTTTGTACCAAATTTGTTTAATGAATATCCCCTGCTGGGGATTAGGACAGCTTATAGTGCAATAGAAGTAAAAGCTTCAAGGCTTTGCTAAGACACCCACTGAAAGAGACTGTTTTCCAAGTTAATTTTAAAGTGAGATTCTTGGCAAAGAGTCTAGAAATAGCCACTTTCTGGGAAAACATCAGAATGTACCACCTATCTCATGTCTTTTTGCGTTTTAACCTTGCTTTTCATATCTACATGTCCAAAGCTACTTTTTCAACTGGTGGTCAAAGGCAGATGTAGGATCCCTCTGGATGTAAGAGGAGCAATATAATGGAATTCTTGAAATTCAAATGTATCCAAATGCTTGGAGGTGCAAATGATGTGGTGAGGGTTGATGTAATGAAAAACACCTTCCTGCTTGTAGGAACAATGTAGTAGCTGCATTGAGTAGATGCTTTCTAGGCCCAACTGACTAGGATACTGCTGCCTATGAGCTAGAGGAGAAGCTTTTGAGGGGAAATCCATATCAAATATAAATGTATTGAAGTCTAAATGAAAAAGTGACTTGACTAGGATGGTGATGCATTGGTCCTATAGATGTCTCTACTGAATGTTATGGAAATAGACAACTTATTCCTAGAAACTACAACACAAGATGCTGGGAATTCCATGAATGGAGCTCCCATTTTTCCCCTCTAAAAATTAGGCACATGAGGACCAGATCTCACAGTATGAGTGTATATGAATATTGTTGTAGATCACCGAAAGGATTGCATCTTAATTTCGTTGTACTATGTACAATGGCAATAAAGTATATTACTATTACTATTACTACTACACAGAGGGAAGGGTTTAAGTCAGGGGTGTCAAAATTAAGGTGCGTGGACTAGAAGTGGCCTGCTCATGGCTTTAATCCGGCCTGTGGCTCTTTTCTTTCTTTCTTTTTCTTTCTTTTATTGATTTCTACCCCACCCATTCGACCTAGGCTGGCTCAGGGCAGCTCACAACAGGGTAAAAACTCTCATAACACATAAAACACAATTCATTACACAAATACAGTTCCTAATAAATAATGCAGCAATATAAAAACAATATTAAAATCACGTAAAGTGTTAGAGTGCTAGCAATTTCCAGTTTTTTCTTTAATTCTATTGGTCTGCTTCAGTTCGGGGGGAAATAGGACGGGCGGTAGTCACAGGGACCAACGGCTCAGGGCTTCCACCATGGTTGTCAACTGTTGTTATTAATTGGTGGTAGTGGTGGTGGTGGCTCCCACAGGGCCCTGGTCTCCTCTGGGAGCTCATTCCACCAGAGTGGAGCTGCCACCAAAAAGGCCCTGGCCCTGGTTGTTGCCAACCTGGCCTCCTTAACACTCGGGAGGGCCAGTCGGTTCTGGGTCCCTGAACGCAGTGCTCTCCGGGGCATATAGGGGGAAAGGCGGTCCCTCAGGTATGTCAGACCCTGGTCATAAAGGGCTTTAAAGGTAAGAACCAGCACCTTGAAGTGAATCCAGTATGCTATAGGCAGCCAGTGCAATGCCTTTAGCACAGGCTGGATGTGCTCTTGAATTGAGAGTCCCATCAGCAGCCTGGCTGCGACATTTTGCACCAGCTGCAGCTTCCAGATTTGCAACAAGGGCAGCCCCATGTAGAGGGCATTATAGTAATCCAATCTTGAGGTGACCATTGCATGGAACACTGTTGCCAAGTTGCTGCATTCGAGGAAGGGAGCCAACTGCCTAATCAGCCGAAGATGATAAAAGGTCCACTTGGCAGTGGCTGTTACCTGGGCCTCCATTGTTAAGGAGGCATCCAGGAGCACCCCCAAGCTCCTAACCTCTGGCGCTGGCACCAATGGGACCGCCTTTCCCCATATATATCCCAGAGAGCACTGAGGTCGGGATCTCAGAAATGACTGGCCCGGTATGCCAGGCTCGCCACTACTAGGGCCAGGGCCTTTTCAGTGGCAGCTCCACACTGGTGGAATGAGCTCCTGGAGGAGATCAGGGCCCTGCGGGACGTTATGTAGTTCCACAGGGCCTGCAAGACAGAGCTCTTCCACCAGGCTTTCAACTAGGAGCCGTCCCCACTACTACCAACGAGCCGGCCTATAGTGCTAACGTCTGGCTGCTACCACTGCGCTCAGGAAGATCATTGAGTAGCATCTGTCTGGTTGTATGGTATTCCAGCATGCCATCCTATGTATTTAATGTATTAGCACTAGCACTTTATGAGATTCTTGTTTTATTGTTATTGCATTTTAAATTGTTTTTATGTGAATTAATAGTCATTTATAGACCAATTATGTAAGCCTCCCTGAGCCCACTTGCAGGGAGGGCTGGGTATAAATTAAATTAAATAAATAAAAAATAAAATAAAATACAGCCCTCTGTATTATCTTGCCCAGATAGGGCAGGTTGGAAACCGATCAACGGTTAGCTAATTTGGCCGGGTCCAAGGATGGTTTTTTTCAGGAGGGAGCACACCACTGCTTCATTAAGTGCTTCCAGGAACTGTCCCTTTAAGAAGGACTTGTTGATGATCTCCCGCATGGCATCGCGCAGCCTCTCACAGGCTGCTTTGAGTAGCCATGACGGGCACGGTTCCAGGCAGAATGTAGTAAGGCGTACAGTTAAGAGCAACTTATTCTAGACTGAGTGGGTTGAAATAATCCAAAATGTGACCGGAAGACATGCTAGGAGCCTCGAGTTCATTCACTGTATCAATTGTGGCGGGGAGGTCACGGTGGAGTGACAAGACTTTATCCGCAAAGTAGCTCACAAAAGCCTCACAGCCAATATCCAATTCCCTATGGTTTAGTCTGCCCTGTGGAAGAACTGCAATAGACCGAATTGTTCTAAATAATTGGGCTGGGCATGAGTTTGTGGATGCAATTGTGGCCACATAGTACTGTCTTTTTGCACCCTTGACTGCCATCTCATAGGATCTCATAAACATCCTATAGGATGCTCTTGTTGCTTCATTGCGATCCCACCGCCACTGTCTCTCTAGCCTTCTCAGCCCCTGTTTCATCAGCTGCAGCTCCTGGGTAAACCATGGAGCGGGCCTGGCCCGGGGGTGCAGAGGGTGCTGGGGAGCAATCTCATCGATGGCTGTTGAGAGTCGGCCATGCCAATCCTCTACAAGCTCATCTAATGAGACACCAGGGGGCTTCAGATCCCGCAGAGCTGCCTGAAGCTGCACTGGGTCCATTTGGCTCTGCAGGTGAGCCCAAATCAGCTCGCCGCCCAAACAGGGTCAGAGTGGGATATTAACTGAGCCTTCAAGGCAAAGTGGTCCAACCATGGCACTACCAAAGCAGTGATCTGGTCCACTGTAACTCCCGCCACGAAGACCAAATCGAGCGTGTGTCCAGCCCAGTGAGTGGGGGCCGTTACCAGTTGGGAGAGTCCCATGGCCGCCATGGATGACACTAGGTCTGCTGTCTTCATAGAGGTCGTGTCATCAGCATGGACACTGAAGTCACCCAAGACTCAGCCTAGGGTGTTCCAAGGCCCAGCCTGATACGGTCTCTAGCAGGGACGGCAGACTATTGGCGTTGGGCGGTCGGTACACCAGCCAAATTGCCACAATCTCCTCAGCTTCCCATACCAGGCTGACACATTCGGTCCCTGTGATCCACGAAGGCGGGGGCACCCTGTAGGAGTAAGCCTCCCGAATGAATAAAGCCACTCCTCCCCCTCGCCACTTAGTCCGCGATTGGTGGAGGACCAAGAATTCAGGTGAAGCTGTTTGGGAGAGAGACACTGTCTCGCCCTCTCACCCAGGTCTCGGTCACACACGCCAGGTCTACATTCTGTTCCAACAGAAAGTCCCGTAGGACTGTGGTCTTATTATTTATAGACCTGGCGTTACACAGTGCTAGTGTCAGAGAGGGGTCAATCATCCTAGCCCCACTGCTGACTACCTTTGGGATGGGATGTAGGCTGGAAGGAGGCCGAGCCAGAATCTTCCACCCTCCTCTCCCTTCTGTCCTCACCCTTTGAAGCTGGAGGCTGCTGAAGTTCCCAGCTCCCTCTGTCTTGTCTTTGCCTGCTTGCGCAGGAAGCTCTTCTGGGCTTGCAAAGTTACAAAGAAAATACAGAATGAATTTTTCCATTAAAGTCTCTGCACCCAAATAAACTATTCTGGGATTGTTTCCAGCAATAGAAACAGTGCTCTGGGACTGGAATAACAGCCCCCAGAGTAGAATGACAGTCCCCAACAATAGAATCTGTGTTCTGGGCCTGGAGTGGCAGGATGCAGAGTGGAATGACAGCTCCTGGGAGTAGCAGCAGCATTCTGGGAATGGAATTCCAATCTCAGAATGCTTCTGCTACTCCCAGGAACTGTCATTTTACTCTGGTGGCTGTCATTCCAGTCCCAGAGTAGTCTATCTAGGCCCAGAGACCTGGGAAATCCATTCCACATTTTCTTTGCAACTTTGTGCTGCAATGTATTTCAGTGGAGTGGATCTCAAGAAGTTTCACTTTCCAGCGTTTGTATAGTTGAAGTTGTTGCTTGCTGGAGTTGTCTCCTTGCAAATACAGGGTTGATGTTTTGAGCCAGCTTGTTTCTGCTAAATAGACCTGAGAACAGGTGCCTGAGTGAGTATTCTAACCTGGACACTCATAGTCAAAGGGGGACATTACATTGGAGAGCCACTGCTACTCTGAGTAGACCTGGAGGGGAGGGGAGAAGCTTGCAATGCCCAGCCATTTAATGTTACTAGGCTCGGATAATTATATTTTATGTTTCTGCTGTGATCTTTGTGCTTTTTCTTGATGTTTTATTTTTAAAATTGCATTACCAAACCCCACTATTCCCCCACCTTTCCGTTTTAGGCAGACATCTTGGGGGGGGGGGGTTGGGAGGTGTCAGTTATCAAAGACTGTTAAATAAATTATCACAAGAGTTTTAAGCATATTTGTATTTTAAGTTAAAAATAATATCTTTAGTTGTGTTTATATCTTTTATAAAGTTATATCTCTGCTACCTGTCATTACATTTTATGACACACATGACCTGGCCCCACAAAGTCCTATTTATATCAGATCCGGCCCTTGTAACAAATGAGTTTGACACCCCTGGTTTCAGTCTTCTCCCCACATTATTTTCCCAATCTGAAATTGCCCCAGGAAGGTCTTTGCCTGGCTGGGGTACGTTTGTTTGCATTCATGGACTCCCAGTATCTTGTGTAGTAGAGTCATTCTTGCAAGCTATGAAGTTACATTTAGAACTGAGCTCATCTTCCACCTATGCAGACCATCATACTATTAGTAGGAGGACCTAGGAGATGATCTACCTGTGATCTACCTGTGTTGCCTGGGCGGTAAATAGTCACATAGGCAGTGATGTCATAATAGCACATTAAAAGATCAGGGCCCTGTGAGACCTATTACAGTTCTGCAGGGCCTGTAAAATGGAGCTGTTTCCCCAGAGTTTTGATTGAGGCAACTTCCCCTGTTTATGGCCCCCTTCCCAGTGCCTGCTGTCAGATAATATTATTGGGCACTGGAGCACCTATATTCACCTGATATGAGGCATGGGGTCTGATGATATTGTCTATCGTGCCATCGACTATGGCACTCCCATAGTATTTGCACTTAATACTTTTGCAGTGCCTGATTGCCAGAGGTGGGAGGGATGTAGGAAAGATCCATAACTATTAGCATCTTCCGGAGATGGACTGCTGAATCCAACCAATTGCACTGCCTGTTGTATGTTAGACAGTGCAGGGAAGAGGGAAGATGTGGGATTCTGGTTCTTAGCAGCAACTGTGATTCTATCACAGTGTCTCATTCTGGCCTAAATGGATTATGAGGAGAGACCCAGTTGCCACAGTGTTTTGATTGTAGTCTGGTAGAAATGACAGTACTATGACACCACTTCACAGGCAGAGCGTGCAAGGTATTTGCAAAGCTCCTTTTCTAAAACCAGCTGAGCACCTGTTTGAGTGCTTAGAGCTTCTTGGCATGTGTAGGATAACATAGTGCTGCCTCATAGCTGCTGTTATACCACAAAACTCCACTGTGGATGAAAAGCACAGTGCCACTTACTGAGGCTTGTGCTGTGTGTCTTTTGTTATTAATACCAGGCCCAGCACTGTAACCCTTCCATAGAATAAACACTAAACAGCAGCTCATTGGGCTATAAGAAAATCCCAGATATTGTAGAAAGATAACAATGAGTAGCACAAATTAAGGTAGATGAATTGCAGCCTGAACCCAATGTCTGACTGGACCCCTAGCACTAAGCAGAAACCCCAGTTTGGATACCCGAAAGCTTCCTTGGTGCTGGATCCTCTGTGAAACAATTATTGCTCTTCCGCTGGTGCTACAACTATAACTGCAATAGGAGGCATCTGTAGGAGTCAAGCCATTGAGAGTAATGGCTAGCTTTGTAACCTTGGATCTATGAGAGTTGGAAAACACCATGAACTCTGAAATTCCTTGATGCCTGATTAGGTTCAGTGGGTCTATCAGTTTCTACTGTCAGTCTTTGGTCCTTGCCTTCAAGGAGTAGATCACTCACTGTCTGTCCTGATGGCCAAATAAAGCAAGTTTTAACTGTGTCACTAGCAATTATAAGTTCCCAGACTCCAACCATTTGCTCATGTCAGGATAGTACCTCTGACATGATCTTCCATTAGACAAAGTTTCTGTCGTGTATTTCTGTTATCATTCCAAATTGCTCATAGTTTTTATGGCACTGTCGTCTGGTCTTTCTGCAGGCTGAACTCTGCTCCAGTAAAAGGTTTTGAAAAGGATGTGGGTGGCAAGACAACCCTGCGGATAACATATCCAGAAGGGGCCATCCAGAAACCGGAACAATATGAAAAGGATTCTCTCTTTGTGCTAGCAGGGTTCAAATGGCAAGATTTCAAGTGGCTGAAGTACATTGTTTACAAGGAGAAAGTGGTAAGATGAATGTCTGTATGGAGAAGTAGTCCTGGTATTTCAGAATTTCATTCCATCATTTGCTTGCAGTCAGGTCTTGTGCCAAATGCTGTACTTAGGTTTCTTATATGAATCTGCTTTTATCCTTTCACCTCTGGTAGTCTGCAGCAAGGCAAAATTATTAGTATTAGTATTATTTTAGAAAGCCAGTGTAGTGCAAAGATGTGAGTGTCACTCTAGGATTGGAGAGTCCCAAGTACAGATCCCTACTCTGTCATGAAGCTCACTGGGTGCCTTTAGGCCACTTGCTATGTCTCAGGCCAACCTACCTCTTACAGATGTCTGTGTAAAATGGGAAGGGAAGAACCATGTCTGCTGCCCTGACTTCCTTGAAAGAAGAAGGGAGGATAAAGATGCAATGAATAGACAGAAATCTAGTTATTGTAGTTATAACAAAATGGGTTTGAGAGCTCCATGTTAATCCCAAAATAATTTGGATATGAATAGCCTTTAATCCAGTTGATGGGTTGAGAGATGTATGTGCAGAAATGTTACATTTCAGCCACACAATATAAAATAGGTTAGAGTGGTAGGGCAGGGAGATGCCTGGTCACATTGGGTTATTGATGGAAACTAGGTTGATTAGTTGGTCAGGTGGTCATGGCCAATAAACGAACACTAACAAATGAAGGAGAGGATCTCTGGGAGGCTGCTAGTTCAGTTGGAAGCCCATTAGATCCCAGCAGGAAAATAGTCTGCACGCAGCCCTAAAATAGCAAGCTGGCTCCTGTGAGTTTAGTGTTTGCAGTTATTGAGGAAATTCCCAAAATCAGGCCTGTTTAGGTTTCATTTCATTCTGACCTTCATTGAGCTGCTCGAGATGTACACTACATTGCATGAAGCACGTTTTGTTGTAGGTTAAAACCTGAATTAGTAAATGTCAGAGACAGTCACACTTTCTCTAAGAACAGTTTGGAAGTGTTAGTGTCACTTTGAAAATGCCATGTTGAAAATGCCATGTTCAGATTAAACTTTTCCAGAAATAAGTGTCTTAACCTGTGAGCCCAGCCGATACCATCTTATATTCTAATAGCAAAGACAGTATTTCTTTGGATAATTAAATCCAGTGACTGGAGCTGTGAACAGACAAGACAGATTTGTAAAGGGCCCTAGGTTTGCAGGAAAATGTGAGATCTAAAAAAAATACACTGGGCAGCTTAAAAAATCTGAAAATGAGAAAAGGAGCACCTGTAGCTTTAAACTACGAATTCCTTTAGTGGCTGTTACTAGGCAACCACAGCATTCCAAGCTTGGCTGTGTAACTAAAAGGCAGGGGGGTGGGGCTTTCCAGACCTATTTTGGCCTTTGAGGGAGAACTCATTGGGGCTAGGCCTGGCTAGGGTTGCCAGCTCCAGGTTGGAAAATCCCTGGAAATTTTGTGATGAAGTCTCAAGAGTGCAAGGTTTGGGGAGGGGAGAGGCCTCAGCATGGTATAATGCAGGCATGTCCAACTTCGAACAGGTAGTGGTCTATTATTTCCGGCCAAAAGTGCCGGTGATCTACCACCATGAAAACAAAGTTTCAAATTAGTTTCAAATTAGATTTTAACCCACTAAAATTGGGTTCCACCCCCCACCCCCAAACCACACATGCAGTTCTAAAAGTAAAAATAAGAATTCATCATACTGCCACCAATAATGTAGGAGCGGTGGCGCAGGTGGTTAGACCCACCTGCTAGTAATATCTGCGAACAGCTGCTACAGCTGTTCGAATCCACCGCGGCCAGAGTGAGCTCCTGGCCCTAGTCCTAGCTCCCGCCCACCCAGCGGTTCGAAAGCAATAAATTACATCATGATGCGAGTAGATAAATCGGGTACCTGTCTTAGATGGCAGGGAGCACCCTTCCCCATTAAGGAGGTGGAACATCGGTGGCGAGTGAAGAACTTCGATGGTGAGTGGCAAAAAATGGCGATCGAGCACAACATTGGCGAGCTGCGACCAGACGTCGGCAGGCGGAGCCAGGAGACGCAGGGGAGCGTGAGGCGCAGGCGGAGCCACGATGGATGGAGCCAAGGCCGCGCCAATACGAGATGTGCACCGAATGGACCTACCAGCCGACACCGAGGATCGCAAGAAGGAGAACGGAACAAAGCGCCGAGCCAGCAATAAGCCAGCAGCCACACCAGGAGTGAGAAGTACAAGAAGTCCTTCCACGGGGTGCCGGTAGGGTAGTCCCCACCCCGATTGAAATGTGGCCATAGATGGGGTTAATTAAGAATACTGTAAGCCGCTCAGAGACCCCTGGAGGGGGTTCGAGCAGGATAGAAACCGAAATAATAATAAATAAATAATCAAATACCACCAAACAATCATCAAAAAACCCCAAACACCTGTCCAGCAAACCAAGTGGGGCTGGTGATCTACCTCTGACCCCTCCGCGATCTACCTGTTGGACATACCTGGTATAATGCAACAGAATCCACCCTCCAAAACAGCCATTTTTTTTAGGGGAACAAATGTCTGGAGTTCAGTTGTAATTCTGGGAGGTCTTCAGGTCCCACCTGGAAGTTGGCAACCCAGGCCTGGCAGCAACCTCTGGGTGACTTGATACCACCCGACTTGCATGACTCAAGTATGCCTGGCTGCTTCCTACTATTCAATAGCAGCCACCCTATGAAAGCCAGTTTTGTGTAGCAGTTAGAGCTTCAGATTAGGGTCTGCAAAACCCAAATTCAGATCCCCCACCTTGCAGTGGAATAGGGTTGCCAAATCGACTTACCTCGCCGGCGGGGGACTCTGGGGTGGCTGCCATTTGAGGGGAAAACATAGAGATGTACACTACATTGCATGAAGAGTTTTCCCCTCAAATGGCTGTGGCCCCGCCCCCAGCGTGCCCGGCATCATGACGTCACTTGCCTGTGACGTGCACGCGGGGGTGGGGTTTCCCCCGGGGCCCGATTCTGCGGGGGCTGAAATCGGGCCTCCAAAGCGGGGTGAAATCCGCCCCCCGGGGGGAATTGGCAGCCCTACAGTGGAAGCTGACTGAGTGACTTGAACCTACCTCACAGGGTTGTTGTGTGGATAAAAAATTGCAGAAGAGAATAATGTAAGCTGCTTCGGTCCCCACAGTGGAGAAAGGTGGGGTATAAATGAAGTAAATAAAGAATAAATATAGTGGAAGGTGGGAAGCAGATAAAAGGTAGGTTGATAAATGGCTGAGAAGGAGAGAACGAGGCAGGGAGAGAATATGGGGATTGCCAAGAGAAGGTAAAGAGGTTAGGAAATTCCTAGAAATTTGGGAGGCAGAGCCTGGGGAGGGTGAGGTTTGAGGAAGGAAGGGATGTCAGAGGGTTATAATGCCATAGACTCCACCCTCTAAAGCATCCATTTCCTCCAGGGGAACTAGGGTTGTCAACGTCCAGGTGGAAGCTGGAGATCACCCAGAATTACAACTACTTTCCAGCTGACATGGTTCAGTTCCCCTGGAGAAAATGGCTGCTTTGGAGGGTGGATTTGAGGCTGTTATACCTTGTTGACATCTCTTCCCTCCTCAAACCTCACCCTCTCAAGACTCCACACACCCCAAATCTCCAGGGATTTCCCAACCTCAGTCTGGCAACCCTAAGGGGAACTGATCTCTGTAGTTGGGAGAGCTGTTGTGATTCCTAGAGATCTGTATCCCCACCCAGAGGTTGGCAACCCTAGGAGGAGAGAAGGAAGCAGGAAAAAGGAGAGACTATGGGGGCTTTCAGGAAAAGGAAAGAGGAAATAGTGGGAGGGGGGAGTCGTGGATTCCTACTTCTACAAACAAGTTATTAAGTGGGTTGGATTCAAACTTAATTCTTTATCTCAGAAGAAGAGGAGGAGGTGGAGGAGAAGATTGGATTTATACCCGGCCCTTCACTCATAGTCTCAGAGCATCTTACAAACTCCTATCCTTTCCCCTCCCCACAACAGACACCCTGTGAAGCAGGCGGGGCTGAGAGAGCTCTTTCCAGAACTGTCCTTGAGAGAACAGCTCTGACAGAACTATGGCTTGCCCAAGGTCATCCAGCAGCTGCATGTGGAGGAGTAGGGACTCAAATCCGGTTCTCCCCAATTAGAGTCTGCGCACTTAACCACTGCACCAAACTGGCTTTCTCAGAAAATAATTTCATCTGTAGAAATCTCTCCTTGAACGTCTGGTTTGTGTCAGTAAAGGAGCCAAGTGAGGGCAAGGGTTTCCATGGAAATAAGTAGCTTTAGGGCTTTCCCCTCTCTTAAAAATAACCCTATACCTACTTTCAGCAGAAGTCTGAGCAACCACTACCAAAATGAGCAGCTTGTGGAATAAGTGCTTCCGGCATCAAGAATCTGTCTCCAGGAGTGAAAATCCAGTGATGAATGAACAGGCACCAGCCAGCAAATGCAGCTAGGTGAAAGAGCCTGCTTATTGTAGAGGTGCACCTGACTCATAATAAGCAGGGGTGGCATTGGTGGTCTAGTAGAGTTTAGCTGAGCTTCTTTGTGTAACCAGGAAAATGCTTGTACCCTCACCCCACCTTATGCATTATCAGCTGGCTACCAGGTGAATAGTGTTCAGAAGTAAAAACTACATAGGAACATAAACTGTACTTGGAACTAGAAACTTTCCTTCTCTGGCATTTTAAGAGCCTTTGAGTGTTGGGAAAGCACCTTCCATGCATTACAGGCAGGGTCCTTAGGCTGTGATGACCCCAATGTGAGGAGCTTCTCCCAATGATCTCTGGTTTGGCCCTCTTTGGTTAGCAAACAACAACTCATAGATTTCGTTTTTAACAAAACAAAGTGACTCTGATCTTTCTTCTTTCTATGACCTTTCATCCTCCCAGATTTCTTAGGCATGTGGGGGGGGGGGGTTAGGAGCACAGAACATTGCCCAGAAGTCAGGGACAGACCCACTCCATTGGAAAAAAGACTTACCTGCACTGAATGTTCTCTCCATATTCCCCCCTTTTTCTTCAGTTCAGAGGAAAGAAAAGCAGCAACACAGCAGTAGAGTT